GGGGGGGGGTTGAGGGAACAGCAACCAGGGAGGAGCAGTTGACACACATGGCTTTTCACAGTCTCTGTGGAAAACGAGACTGGCCAAGAACCAGTGCTCTGACCGTTTTTAAGTTAACTGTAAATGAATTAAAACTGTAAAGAAGTTACTTTTTCTCTTCCCCCCGCCCCCTGGGTTCAACAAATTGCTTCTACTTTCATGGGTTTGTGCTTAAAGAAACTGCTCGATTTTTAATCCTTGTAAGTTATAAACATTAATTGTAACGTGAGGAATTGAAATCTGTTGAATTTGTTCTAATTTTCTCTTGGGGTAAAATCAGAATGCAGGGATTTTTGCCACTGCTGTTTCTCTTTAAGGGCAGACAGATATTGCACACTTTCTTCCTCTCTTGTACATGGACAATTTTTGAAAACTGAGAGTTTCCTTTTTGCATTCCATCTTCCTCCTCTTACTTGTCCTTCTCCCATGGCCTCAAATCTTTTTTGTCACCTGTAAATAATCATTCGCTCATTCATTCAGACGTTCATTTGAATCATTGTGTGTAAAAAAACAAATGCTACTGTTAACTCTTAGCGCTCTTCCATGAGAATGACTCTGCAGTTAATGCCAACATTGTAGCAGAGTGGTGCTGTACGAAAAGTGACACTGGGACACCACCATGAGGTAGCATTGCCATGCAGTGCATAGTAAAACCAATTTACACAGTTCAAGTGATTGAAGGGGTAAACATATTTAAAACGTCTGATGTTTTTAAAAAAAATCTTTTGAAACACCAGTGTTTTATATTGTTAAAATCTTGAGGTAATTCAACCTTTACACTTGCTCTTTTTTGGCCAGAGAAATGAAGCAGCCATCCTAACTGTTGCCTTACAGAGCTGGTTTCTTTTAGCTGACAAGATCCTTGATTTCATTAGGCAGTGCCTACACATGTTTTCAGACATTTTTGTTTAGTAAGGTTGACATCCCCTGCCCCCCCCCTCCAAGAACTGATGACTCTGCTACTGTAATCAATGTTTTCTTGCTTTGTCAATTAAAATGCTAATGAACATAACCAGCTGGTTTTTGTTTTATTTTATTCCTGAGAAAACCTGGGCTCATTAACCAATGTCAAATTCAAGAATGGAAAAATGTACACACATTTTTGGTAAGAAGAATTTTGGCATTGTACATATGCAGACACATGGCATATTTTTTCTTTTTTTTTTAAGTCCTAACTGTTCTCTGCCTTTAATTTTAAATGGTAATAAGCCACAGCATGCTTACCATTTATAATTAACAATTTATTTTTTATAAAACCCAATAGTAATGTCTCCAATGTTATTTATTTTTAAAATTATTTTTCTTTTTTTCATTTTACAGCTCTCAGTCCTCATCCTCTGGCCAGCCCTCTGCAAGGTCAACTGAAAAACTTTTATCTTATACTATGTTATATATATATATATATATGTGTGTGTGTGTGTGTGTGTGTGGGGGGGCTGTTCAAAAATAAATAAAGAGAACACTTAAACAACACAATGTAACTCCAAGTCAACCACACTTCTATGAAATCGAACTGTCCACTTAGGAAGCAACACTTGACAATCAATTTCACATGCTGCTGTGCAAATGGAATAGAAAACAGGTGGAAATTATAGGCAATTGTCAAGACACACCCAATAAAGGAGTGGTTCTGCAGGAGGTGACCACAGACCACTTCTCAGTTCCGATGCTTTCTAGCTGATGTTTTGGTCACTTTTGAATGCTGGCGGTGCTTTCACTCTCGTGGTAGCATGAGACGGAATCTACAAGCCACACAAGTGGCTCAGGCAGTGCAGCTCGTCCAGGATGGCACATCAATGCAAGCTGTGGCAAGAAGGTTTGCTGTGTTTGTCAGCGTAGTGTCTAGAGCATGGAGGCGCTACCAGGAGACAGGCCAGTACATCAGGAGACGTGGAGGAGGCCGTAGTAGGGCAACAACCCAGCAGCAGGACCACTACCTCCGCCTTTGTGCAAGGAGGAACAGGTGGAGTAAACCACCAGGCCACAAATGTGCATGTGTCTGCTCAAACGATCAGAAGCAGACTCCATGAGGGTGGTATGAGGGCCCCATGTCAGTGGCAGTGGGTCAGTAATGGCGTGGGGTGGCATTTCTTTGGGAGGCCACACAGCCCTCCATGTCCTCGCCAGAGGTAGCCTGACTGCCATTAGGTACATTCTTGTGCAGAGGCAATATCATAGTTTATGAAGTTTAACTGAGACGTGATCATTGCTGGTTGAAAACTTAACCCAATACCCTGCCTGGATGACTTGAAAAACAGTCAGCTATGGCAATTTTTGTCAATCTCTCAGGAGACTTTTATGAGGCAGTGGTGGCCTAGTGGTAAAGGAAGCGGACTTCGGTTCCCCGGGCGCCGACCATGGCTGCCCACTGTTCACTTGGTGATGGGTTAAATGCAGAGGTTAAATTTCATTGTGCATGGTGTGCTGTGCTGTGCTATGTCACAAATGACAAATAAAGATAAGTTTAAGTTTAAGTTTAAGTACTGACAATTATGTCACAATGACAAGTAATTCACTTTTACTTTCACAAATGTAAGACAATGCTAGACCTCATGTGGCTGGAGTGTGTCAGCAGTTCCTGCATCATGAAGGCATTGATTCTATGGACTGGCCCGCTCGTTCCCCAGACCTGAATCCAATTGAGCACATCTGGGACATCATGTCTCACTCCATCCACCAACACCACATTACACCACAGACTGTCCAGGAGTTGGTGGTTATATATACAGTATATATATATATATATATATATACTTACTTTGTGTGGCTTCAGATGCTTAACGTCATCTTAGGCTCACATTTTCAATATATGCACTAGATGTCGCTCTTAAACCGTGTTTTCTCCGTTTGCTTTTTGGCACAGGCGTTTGACGCCACCACCACCAGTCAGTCTGTCACTACGTCAAAAGCCTGGGTGTTTGTGTCGGTCAGGTAGGTAATAGGTTGGTATAATAACATCGCATCTCTATGTTACATTCACCTATAGTATATACAGGTGTGTATGAATACTTCTGAAATATCTTTATGGTTATTTTGATGAGACTGAACACACACTCTTGTGTCCGGAGTGTGTGTGTGCGTCCATCCCAGCTTGTCTTAGTTGCAGTTACTGAGCTTTGGAAGCCATGGTGCAGTCTGACTGGCTGAAATAACAGGCAGCAGAAGCTGACAGGCTGATAAATGGTTTGTCTTTTCACAGCTGCTCAGCCAAGAGAAAAAGAAAGAGGGGGAGGGAAATAGAGATGTCAGGAGATGAGTTAGTGAAGAGATTACAGATGAAATCAATCAAAGTAGCCCCACCAGCTTCTTCTTCTTCTTCTTCTCCAATTTGTCTGTCCCACTTCCTTCCTCTTAGCATTTCTGTGTTCTGTTCTGAGTTCTTCCTGATTAGCTTAAAGAATCCCTAAGAGTGTCATTTGTGGGGAACTGTAAAGAGTGTGTTGTGTTTGTTTGTGTGTAACACTCTTACTCTATTTGTCTTTCTTAGTACTGGAAGTAAGGAACTACTACAACATCATTAGTATATACTGTATATAAAAACAGAGAAATGTGACATATATATTAAATGAACACATTTGTCATCTGTCATCATGAAACTACATTTACAGTTTTTATTTTTCTTGTTATTTTCCTGCAGTGCAGCTGTTATGTCAGGAGGGGGGTTGTGTGTACTTTGGACTTTTTGGTATTATCTTGCACTTTGTATAAAGTCTGGTGTCCTGTGTCCTCTCTGACCTCACCGTTACTGTGTTAACGCTGATGGTCAGACACACCTGCCGGTAATCCCAGCTCATCACGGGATAGGGGCCACCTTATGGACAGGACACCTGCTCGTCGTTGCCACAGCACCCGACCAGAATTACACCAGCAACCTGGTGGTGTAATGAGTTGACTCTGTGAGTTTGAGATTTTATTCCTGCAGCTGTGCAGTTCCTGGTTCTGGTTTTTCCAGAATGCTGGTTCCTTTGGTTTTTCTCCTGGGTCAGCAGCTCCACCACTGTCACCTTCTGCCTCCACAGTCGCTCATCAGCAGCAGAAATCCTGCCTGTACCCTTGCTTCAGCTCCACTGCCTCCCTGCTGCTTGTTTCAACTTACATTTTCAATTCATTCTCTGTAATAACCGCTTGTACTAACCTGCTCCTGTTTCTGTGTCCGCTCCTAGGTCCTCCCATTTTTTTATGATGGGGATGACATTTTTTTGTTCCATCTGTGGAACATCTGTTACAAAGTCTTATTTTCAGTTCTAGTTAATGAAAAACACTGATAAACTGGAACTAAAATCAAGAACAAAACTGACATGCACTGGATGTTGTTGTTTTTTAATCTAACTGCCTAAAAATGGACTTCAGGACAGACATTGTGGGTCATTGAGGTGGTGAAGCCATTCTCAAAAAACTAAAGTTCTATTATCAATGCATCTTCCCCCTTCCTGACACAAACAACCCTAACCCTAACCACCAAAACGAAACCCCAAAGAAATTCTGCATGACTCTTACCACGTCACTTCTTTGTAGTCCTGAAGTAGATAAACTGAAATAAAGGGGTTAGTACATACTCTACAGCAGTGCAGAAGAACTATGAAGTGGGGTCTTTCACATCGACGTGGCACAGGGAAATTCCATGTTTAAAAGGAGCAGATGATTACGACTCCCTGTAGTACATATCACAGGCCTCTATGTGGTGCTGTGTCTCCCTCGTTTTAACATGCTATCACCAGAAGAGTGGTGTTCTGCCTTTGCTGCTCCAGATGGGGCTCCAAACCCGATAATAATTAACTGTGGCACAGCATGTAGCTGATTTAGCCTCTAGCTTGGTCAGATATAGCCTGGCATCTGCCATTGTTGTTATTGTGTGGCGTTGAGCAGGGTAGACTGGGGTAAGAGGTTACAGAGAGACAGGGCTGACCACAGCTCCATTCAGACACAGAGCTGAAGTCTTCAAA